GAACTGCCATACAGTATTTATGTCACCTCTCTTCTGTTTCTCACTGTTTGGTGTTTGCTTCGTAGGTGCACACCGCCTGCATGGACATATATCCTCGCAAATGTCCACTAGGTCAATGTAAAGTCTCCATCATTCCTCCTACAGCTCTGAACAGCATCGACTCAGATGGTAGGAACACAAACTCTCTCTCTCTCTCTCTCCCCTTTCCGTCTCCCTCGTTCTCTCCCTCTCCCCGGTAATGTATGGATGACGAGAGTCAGAGAAGCTGGAGAGGGAGGGAGGAGGAGGAGTCACTATTTTCTCAGCACGTGTTGGCTGTCCTCCCCTCCACCTTCCCCTCTCTCCTAACCAATTACAATCACACTCCCCTACTGTTTCCCAGCATGCATTTGGACACAGGGTGTCTAGCACGTGAGTGAGCAAGTGAGTGGAGTAAGGAGAGTAGTGAGTAAATAAAAGAGGAGATGTGTTTGTATGTGATAATGATAATAATAATGATGATAATGTTTCATTTTATATTTCAATCTGAGTTTATAATCTGTCCGTAATCCACATAGATAGAGTCACGTGACTTACTGGTCAGAACAAGTCCCCGAGCAACAATAATGCTTATGGAGATGTTGAACATGCATGAGTTCACCTGGGCTGTCGAGAGGACTCGTTTTGACCTCGGTTACAGACAAGTCCTAAAGGGACAGTCCCAGTTGATTGGCCTATTTTTATCTCCGCCGTTAATCCCAGGTTTCTGGAAGGCCACCTGCCCTCCATCATGTGCCAGTCCTCTCCTGGTCTTCGTGAACTCCAAAAGCGGAGACAACCAGGGGGTGAAGTTCCTGCGGCGCTTTAAGCAGCTCCTGAACCCGGCTCAGGTCTTCGACCTGGTCAACGGTGGGCCGCACCTCGGGTGAGGAGACACGATGTGTGCAGGGATGTTGAAACTGAAGAGAACAACGAGTACTGATGGAGTTTTGGGTTTTTTTTTTTTTCTGCGTCTTTTTCAGTCTACGTCTGTTCCAGAAGTTTGACACCTTCAGGATTCTGGTGTGCGGTGGTGACGGCAGCGTGGGCTGGGTCCTGTCGGAGATCGACAAACTCAACCTACACAAACAAGTAAGTCGCGTTTCCGCTAGGTCAAACTCCCGCGGGAGCCAAAAAAGGCATCTAGTAAAGTCCATGCAGCAGAGTTTCTTAACCTATGAATTTAAAAAAAAAAAAAAATTACACAGTAATGAACAATATTTGTAGCTTGAATAAATAATAATCAATTGTCGAAACATGTATTCGTTTGTAAATTAGTAAAAAAAATTAAGTATGTATTTTCACTGCGGCCCAGTACCAAATGAGCTATGAACTGGTACTGGTCCGCATACCGAGGGTTGGGAACCCCTGATCTATACATTCTTCCATTTACAACCAGCCCTTCAAGGGGAACTGTGGCCCCCAGTAAAATTTTGGTTTAACTAGCAGAGGCTAGTTAGCCTAGCCCGTGCTAGGCTAACTCTTAGCCACCTCCACAAAGTTTGAGATCAACCTTATTATGTTGCAATATATTTTTATATTATATATGAATATATGTATTATGCCCTGGAGCAGATCACTAAGTCTCCCCTGTGCATTCCAACTACGGTCGGGGCGCCGAAGCGGGAAAGAGCTAACGTGTAACCAGCCGTGTTACAGGGACTGTTCGGAAAAAAAAAAACATTTATTTATGTGAAAAAAAATCTTTCTGTGTAAATATTCCATGTTACAACGTAGACACCTGCGACTTATTTTTTCTCTTCTTAAATTCAGTTGGCGCGACTTATATTCAGGTGCGCTCACTAGTCTCGTATTAATTACGTTAACTCCTCCCGTCTTTTCCAGTGCCAGTTGGGTGTGTTACCTTTGGGCACCGGCAATGACCTGGCCCGGGTCTTGGGCTGGGGCCCATCCTGTGATGACGACACCCAGCTGCCTCAGATCTTGGAGAAGCTTGAAAGAGCCAGCACTAAGATGTTGGACCGCTGGAGCATCATGACCTACGAGATTAAGATCCCGCCCAAACACAGCTGTCCTACCACACCAGAGGGCGCCGACGAGTGCCAGGTACCTTACACGTGCCTCGACGCCTGCCTGTTAGAACGTCTTTTCAAACAGATTTTTTTATTTACAGAGGATTTTCATGAATAAAATCCCCAATTTAATAATATGTTGTAATCCTACTTCTACTAAAACACTACGTCGGTTTAGGAAATTGAAGATTTTCCTCTGGTTTCCAGTTAAAAGCCAGTATAAGACAGGATTTGAGAACAGATCTATTCCTACAATATTACAGACTTAATTTTTTTTTTTTTTTCATTTCCAGTTGCACATTTCTGCCTACGAAGACTCAGTGGCCGCTCATCTCACCAAGATCCTCAACTCAGAACAACACTCTGTTGTCATCTCTTCTGCCAAGTAAGTGTCTCAAACTTAGAGCCTGGAGTTTTATATATATATATATGTCAGAGCAAATAAGCTGAAACGTACCTGTTTTTGTTTTGTTTTTTTTTTTGTTTTTTTTTTATTACGCCTTCTTCTTGTTTTTAAGAATACTGTGTGAAACAGTGAAGGACTTTGTTGCCAAAGTGGGAAAAGCCTATGAAAAAAGCACAGAGAACACCGACGAGTGTGACATGATGTCTGTCAAGGTAAGGCTAAACGAAAGTCAAAGGTTTGGTGGAATGAGTTAACCAATGCAGGGGGTCCTCGACCTACAGCGTCCTCGACCTACAGCGTCCTCGACCTACAGCGTCCTCGACCTACAGCGTTTTGTGCTTAACGTCGCCATCTGCCATGAATTTACTAACAAAGTCTCAAGTTTCATTATTCGGACATACGACGTTAAAACTCACCAACTAGAACGCATTGGATTGTGCTAACTTTTTGGATACTTTTCGCCCTTCGTTATGCCTCCATGGCGTAGGTCAGACTCTTCTGAAGTTTTTATGTCCTAGACCAGGGGTCACCTGGTAGCCCCCTAGTGGACTACCTAAGGTGCCCGTGGTGGTTTGTTCTAAAAATAAAACCAGTCAACAAGAGGGTCATGAAATTGTTTTTTGAATCAGTTCCACTTGCAGTGATATTCAAATGGCTGCAATGACTATGACAAGAAGAGTGTCTACTATTGGATGTCCCAGAACTGATTATTATTACATTGTTCAGGACGTCTGTATCAAACAGCTCTTTGTATTACTAAGTACCCTTGAAGTAGCTCTCAGTTCCAAAAAGGTCGGTGACCACTGTCCTAGATTATGACGTTACCACTCTGTTAGTGTAGGTGAGTGACATAAGTACGTGAGTTATGCCGCACCGTAGGAATGGAACTCCGATTCAAACATTGATCTACTCACTATCTGTAAATACGTTTTCATAAACACCTACGTGTTTTTGCAGAACAGTGTTAAATCGTTGCTCGTTGCTTCATGCAGCTGCTTCCAGTAATCTCCCGACTATCGATCGAACGTTCATTCACGGTCTTGACGTTATCTCCTTGTCCGCCAGTGTGCCATCCTGAACGAGAAACTGGACTCCCTCCTCCACACCCTCAACACCGAGTGCCCGGTTTTCCCTCTGGTGCTCCACTCCACTCCTCCGATTGTGGAGGAGGAACAAGAAGAGGAGGAGGAGGAGGAGGAAGATGAGGAAGAGGAAGAAGCCAGCGAGGAGAGCCTGACGGAGCTCAAGGGGAAGCTGGAGGCAGAGGAGACGGAAAAAAGAGGAGGCGGAGGCCAAGCGGCTGCGGCTCACCAACTGTTCAGGAGCAGGGAGCAGCTGATGCTGCGAGCGAACAGTCTGAAGAAAGCAGTTAGACAGATCATCGAACAGGCGGAGAGAGGTAAAAACAAAAAAAAAAAAAAAAAGCGAAGCTTTGGTTGGATCGACTCAATAGGACAGAAGTTGAAATTTTTGAAAAAACAAAAGTTCAAACTCATCGAACAGGCGGAGAGAGGTAAAAAAAATTGAAATTTTTGAAAAAAAAAAGTTAAAATGCTAGAAGACCTCTAGCGCCTGCTGTCAGTTTTTTTTTAGACGACCAACATTCAGCTTTTGTCCTGTCTTTCTGCAGTGGTGGACGAACAGAATGCGCACACGGACGACAGTGAACTTCAGTCTCCTCTTGACTTCAGGAAGGACAGTGAGGATGAGAACCGGGACAGTGAGAAGGACGAGGACACCAAGGAATTAGAAGGAGCCTCGTGTAAGTTTTTTAAATCTTTTAAATCGTCTGGAAATTGTTTGACCTTTGACTCTGACCTTTGACCTAGACATGTCCTGCACTTGGTCTTTACTTCTGTAAACTTCATCCTGGACCCCTACAGCTTATCAAATTAGCAGTTAAGCTCAAGAAGAGCCTGTGCGTTTTGGCTCCCTCTTGTGGATGTTGTTGGCCTTGCAGCATCAGGAGACAAAGTTTTATTGGAAGTTATTAAAAAAAAAAAACTACTGCTGATGTAAATCACACTTCCTGTCATAAATTATCTCAGATATTAAAGCAGATGCTGTTGAAGCACTTGGAAAATAAGTCTAGTTCCTTGTGTTAGTTCTGGTTTTTCTTTAAAATGGATCTGACCTTGACCTTAGTCCTGGTCCTTAGTCCCTAGTCTGTGTTTCTTCTGTGACCATGTCTCCAAGATGTCCCTGTTTTGTCATATTTGTGTGACTGTACAGCACATACTATATCAATATCTGTTCGGTATATGAGTGTGCGCTAGCGCAGCAGGAAGTGTTATTGTCTAAAGGACAGAAACTTTTCCTATTTGTCCTGCAGCCACTTCCTTCCTTCCTTCCCTTCCTTCCTCCCTCCCTCCCCTTCCACTTGCGTTTCAGCTGATGGAGCGTACCGAATATCAGTCTCGCCCCTTCCTGACCTAGACAACACAAGAAACTGTAGGAAGGGGAAGGGGCTGTAAAGCTATGGTGACCCCTCCTGGGCAACAAACTAACAGTCAACTGAAAAGAGTGATGACACCTAAAGGTTCTCTCTCTCTTTCTCTCTCTCTCTCTCTCGCCTTGTTCGTGTATGTCAAAAGCAGCCAAAAGTCCGTGTTCTCCCACAGAGAGGAGGGTCAGCCGCAGCACTCAGTCCTACGGCCCCTTCACCATCACGCCCTTCACCACCAGCAAAGAAAACCTGCCCGTTCTCAACACGCGCATCATATGTCCAGGTAATTTGCACTCACAGCAGCCAAAAAAAAAAAAAAAAGAATTACGCCAAGAATCATCTGGAATCACAAGATATTAGCATAGAATTGTTATATTATGTAACAGATCCTTGAAATAGTTGTGAAAACGTATTTAACGTTAGCTAACGACAGGTCAAAGCTAACTTTCAACGCGCAAAGCGTCGCAAAGTAAAGTAGAATCTCTCAAATAACGACGTAATATTTGGAAGAATCGTTATTGTTTTTTGTCCGATAACGAAAATCCGATAACGCAATGCCGGGTTTACCGCAGTTTTGGGGAAAAAAACATAAGCATATATTGGTATCAGTTGATATCGGTAGCGAAAATTAATTTGGACAACATCGGTATTGGACAAAAAAGTCAATATTGGACATCCCTAATAACAAGTGAACGTTAAAAGAGATAAAATGGAAAGAGCACGAAAAAGGTTGGTTCGCAAAAAAACTATTGAAAGTGAGAAAAAATGTTGAAAGTTAAACTGTGAGGTAACTAAATATAAAAAAAAAACAGATGTAAAGCTTTGTGATTTGTGGATTTCTTATGTCCCGCACAGGTTTACGCGCAGGTTTAGCTGCCTCCATCGCCGGCAGCTCCATCATCAGTAAGATGCTGTTGGCCAACATCGACCCATTTGGTGCCACACCCTTCATTGACCCGGACCTTGACTCACTGTGAGGATTGTCTCTCTTACTAAGTCTGGCCTATTTTCTTAATCCAGGCTCACATCTGTCTCTGTGTTTTCCCAAACAGCGAGGGCTACATGGAGAAGTGTGTGATGAACAACTACTTTGGCATCGGCCTGGACGCAAAGATCTCCCTGGAGTTCAACAACAAGAGGGAGGAGCATCCAGAGAAGTGCAGGTCTGCTATTGGATGTTACTGTACTGTGCTCCGAGGATGGCCGTACATTTGTTTTCAAAGAGGGGCAGATTTGAAGTGGTCAACCCTTCTGACTAACATCGTTTTCAAAGAGGGGCAGATTTGAAGTGCACATGCGTGAGGGTCAACCCTTCTGACTAACATTTAGCCATTAGCATTAAATGCATTAGCATGTCTCAACTCATAATAATAATAATACTCATAATCAGCATCATAATAGTCATTATAATAATTTAGTCCCGTATTCGACCCACAATGGGGAAATTTACAATGTGAGTCTTAGTTCCATTAGGAATAGGAGTGCTTGCAAGGCAGGCGTGCTAACCGCTACGCTAATGTCTCCGGATATTGAATTCTTTGAATTCCGCGGTAAATCTCGGTAAATCGTGCAAACACATAAAAATACTCCGGCCCTCGCAGTCAACTCGACTAGAAGGAGTCATGGGCATACAGCTACTCAGTGCTGCTGCCATCTCTTGGTGAAATGTAAAATTGCATTTTAAGACAAAGGCTTACAATTGGCTCCCTGCGTCTTACCTTCCATTTCTATATATCTAGTCCACAATTCTGACCCCGTCCTCTCCCCTCTCACCTGCTTCCTGTCCAGGAGCCGCACCAAAAACATGATGTGGTATGGAGTTTTGGGAACCAAGGAGCTGCTGCAGCGGACCTACAAGAACCTGGAGCAGAAGGTCCAACTAGAGGTGAGATGAGAAATAAATGTGTAAGACATTGTAAGTTACTTTAAAACAGTGGTTCCCCCCTTGGGGACAGAAATGTTTTCACGCCAAAGGCCAAAATGCTAAAATGCTTTAATCGATTTCTATGCCATCTATTGGGGAAACGTGGGTATTGCAGCGAAAAGGCAGAAGTATAATGATATTATAAATAAATTATATAATTTGGAAGAGTTTTTGTCTGCACTAGATTAAATTGATGAAGAAATGATTTCTGTGATGTTGCCGATATTCGATTATTGAATTAGGCTGCAAACCGCCCTAAAACTGTAACGCTAACTCAACTGACATCTCCTTTCGTCTCCTTTCCTTGGTTCCTTTTCTTGGTTTCGTGTCTCAGTGTGACGGTCAGTACATCCCTCTTCCCAGCCTTCAAGGGATAGCCGTTTTGAACATTCCCAGCTATGCGGGTGGGACAAACTTCTGGGGAGGAACCAAAGAGGATGATGTGAGTATATGTACTGTTACATTATACTGTATGATATATAGACTGAGATCAAACCATTTATCTTTCCATATGCTAAACTAGGTTTTGGCTATTTCTTTGGCTAAGTCTAAATAATAGGCTGCGATTTTACATCCCATCATAAGGGAAAAGTTGATCGCTTTTGTTCTAAAAATTTTATTTATTTTATTTAACTAATAAAAGAGACGTCACTAGGATAAAAAAATCTGTGTTACTAGAGTGACCTGACCAAAGAGGTATCTCAGAGACATAAAATCGTAAAACTCACGGGGTCCGCAACTAACCTCAGAACTCCATTCCTATCGCACGACGTAACTCGATTTTCGCTAGTTAGTTAGTTAGAATTCCTCCTCAAATTCATCCTACACTGACACGATGTAATGCAAAAAAATTAGGGATGTTCGATAATATTGGTCAACATTAGCATAATTATGTTATATATATCTGTTAGAATCGTTATCGGATTTTCCGTTTTTTGATAAAAACCCGATAAGGCAATGCCTGGGTTTCGCCCAGATGATGTGAAACTGAAAGTGAATTATTGTCATTGCGACACCACTGCACGTATTGAAATGTGTCTTCTGTCTTTAACCCAAGCTGCATATATCGGTATCGGTTCTTATCGGAATCAGAAATTAAGTGTTTGGACAATATTGGAAAAAGTTACTATCTGACACCCATACAAGAAATTTGGGGATTGTAAACAGTCCAATGTATGGCGTCCAACTGGTGAATGTAAACAAAGCCGTCTTCCATGTATAGCGCTTTGTCTCGATTCCGTGCAAAATTTGTCTAAATGCCGTACATCGGAACGATGGAACAAGACTTTCTTAATAAATGTATGGGGGCGATGGCGACGTGACCGTGAAACGACGTAGGATTAAGGACCGATGGATTAAGAACCCGTGGTTGACCTTGGCTGCTGCTGTTGTTGTCCTTGACGTCCAGATCTTCTGCGCGCCGTCCTTCGACGATAAAATCCTAGAGGTGGTGGCCGTGTTTGGCAGCATGCAGATGGCCGTGTCACGAGTCATCAAACTGCAGCACCATCGCATTGCACAGGTGAGATGATATTCATAAGATAAGATAAGCCTGTGTGACCCTGAACTGGACAAGCACTTTTTCGTTCTCCGTTTTTACGCGGATGACACCATTCTGTTCCCTCTGTTGTCAGTGTCGAACAGTGAAGATTACCATCCTGGGAGATGAAGGCGTTCCCATTCAGGTGGACGGTGAAGCCTGGATCCAGCCTCCCGGAGTCATCAAGATCCAGCACAAGAACCGGGCTCAGATGCTAACGAGAGACCGGGTGGGTGACGCGGAATGTAATCGGATCTCTTCGCGTTCAGATCCGACATGTTTTTTTTTTTCTCACGACATTTTGTTTTGTCTCGTCTCTCAGGCGTTCGAAAACACGCTGAAGTCTTGGGAGGACAAACTGAAGTATGACAAACCTCCTCTGCGTCCACACCTCTACCCTCAACAGTCCGTGGACCTGGCTACGGAGGAAGAGGCTGCTCTGCTCCAGATGTGTGCCCGCGCCGCGGAGGAGCTCATCACCAGGTACGACGACACATGGAATGAGACAGTTTGGTCTATGACAGCCGCGGGCTAACTTTTTGACTCGCGGGCGACGATTGTCCCAAAATTGAACGGCGGGGTCGGGTCGGGAGCAGATAGATGGAGTGTTCATGTAAACTAAGATAAATGACATGTAAAAGTCATGCATGAAGGCTAAAATGCTAAAATGCTTTTATCGTTTTCTACTCCATCTATTGGGGAAACATGGGTATTGCAGGGAAAAGGCAGAAGTATAATGAGAATATAAATAAATTATATAATTTGGAAAAGTTTAGCGGGCCGGATTAAAAAGCTGAACGGGCCGCATCTGGCCCCCGGGCCTTAGTTTGCCCATGTCTCGGTTATGACCATGTCTTTTTTTTTTTTTTTTCTCTCTTATACAAGGATTTGTGAGGCTGCGAAGACTTGCGGTCTTCTAGAGCAGGAGCTGGCCCACGCTGTCAATGCTGCATCTCATGCCATCAACAAAACACATCCGAAGTTTCCTGAGGTGAGTCCTTTGAGAAAGCGAGTTAACGTCTCCAAGTGTAAGATCAAGGATGTCGCTCATTTTAGTTCATGGGCCACATACTAGATGTCAAGTGGGCCAGATCAGTACAATAACATAATAAACTATAAATACCAATACAGCGATCCCTCTCCTATCGCGGTTGTTGCGTTCCAAGACCCACCGCTAAATGGGAAAAATCGCGATGTAGAGCCGAGGTAGTTGAGAGTGGTCGACAGATAGGGGGAGATGCTGAGAGATGCTACGATGCATGAGCCAATCAGAGTGAGGAACGGAAGAGCATGTTCAATTAGCCAATAGTACACAGAGTACGCATTGTATTAGCCAATGCCATGCCGTGTACGATCTCGTCTAGGTAAACAAAGCTAGCAGCGATCAGTCGCAAATGCGCTTATGTCAATTTTAAAAACGAGAATCCACATTTTTAGAGGCTAAACTTTTATAATATATATAATTATTTTACAATATCTCTGCAGTTAATTATTTGCTATATTTTGCGATATAGCGTAAATTTCGCGATGTACTGAGGGAGCGAAAGAAGATATAGAGAGGGAACACATATTACACGTAATGAAATATAATTTTACAAAAAAAAAACAACCTGAACATAAAATGTTTTTTTAATTTTTTTTTTCAAAAATTCATCAAGCGGGCCAGACTGAACACCCTAGCCAGACGGTTTTAGCCTGCGGACCGTATGTTTGACACCCCTGTGGTAGATTTTATATCAGCCAAATTTTACCAGTAATTTTGGTAAGATTTAGTTCAATAAAGGTCATTTAAAACCTAGCTAAAAGTTGAATCAGAAATAATTCAAAGGTGACCAATTGGTTGCTAGTGCTAGCATAGCAACATAGGACAACAGTCGGTCACTCATTATGATGATCCGTGTACAAAGCGCACGTTGCCAGTGACTAGTTTCTGTCCTTCACCGGTGTTTTGTTTTCCCAGAGTCTGACCAGAAACACAGCCATAGAGGTGGCCAGTACTGTCAAAGCTCTGTACAACGAGACGGAATCTCTGCTGGTCGGCAGGGTCTCTCTGGTAAATCCCAGGCTCCAATAAAGTAAAGTTGGACTTCACCTTCCAAGTGTTTAAAATGAAACTGTCTTTTTACTGTCACGGTCACTGCAGCAGCTGGAGCCGCCGGAGGAGGAGCAGCTGTCCAACGCCCTGCAGAGTGTGGAGATGGAACTGGGAAAACTGGGAGAGATCCAGTGGCTTTACCACATCCTGCAGCCGAACGACGAGGAGGTGAGAGGCTTTGACTTTACATAACACCTTTCGACGATGTCTTTATTCCGTGCCGTAGAGAAAATACGATTTTAGAAATTTTACTTCAGAGCCAGTATGACTAACAAGAGCTACAGTTGGGCTTCAAGATACGACTTTAATCCGTTCAACAACATTCAACATTTCCCCATTAAAAAAAACCGAGAACCAATTACAGTAATTCGGTCCAGCCTCCCAGTAATGTACTATTACGGTAATTACGGTAAAATTCAAATTAAGATTCCTCCCTTTATCTAAACATCAACAACATAGATATAAACAAACATATTGATAATATTAAATAATGATAATTAAACATGAAATATTAAATTAAATAAAATTAAGACGTCCTATATTATTTTTAGTGGTAAAATAACACAACGATGTTGTTAGCGAGAAAAATGGAGCGCGATTCAGCACTCGTAACTCGATGTTTCCTCGTACCACGAGGAAAGTCTTGCGAAATGTCGCTTACCCAAAACCATTGTCATGGCAACCACATGACTGACAGGCTTTTCAACCACTTAATGTCAGCATCTTCATTCACCAAAGTGGGGAAAAATTTTAGATTCTTTCAGATTTGATTTGGTTTTAAATATTTTTTACATTTATACTATTGTAGTTATTCAAAAAAATATTTGTTATTGGTCAATGAGTACTGAACACGTCTTTTCACTGAGTAGTTAGCAGTCTCAGAGGAATATTGAAAGTTATTTTTTTAGAATCGACCTTGTCATGTGAATTAAGTTTATCCTAAATATCAACTAGAATTTTATATTACAGGTTGGGTTTTTTTTTTCATAAATTTGTTTGGTTGAATTTGGGCTCATTCAAGGATAGATGATGTGTGATGAAGACTTAAAAGACATTAAATATTTTTTTAAAAATTAAAAAAAAAAACTAAAACACAAAGACACATCTCAAGATGTGGCTAAATGTATTGAGCACTGTTATATATTATTTATTATTATTGTTGTTGTTGATATTGTTTGTTATTTTATATCTGTTTGGTTTTAATAGAAGTTTGTCCCATATAGTTATAACAGCACTTATTTATCTAATTTTTCTGAAACTGAAAAAAAATATTTTTTTGACAGAAATTGCTTTTTTTGTTCTCATATGTATATATACATGACTATTTTGACTTTGACCTTTGTGTGGGGGCTTCCTATGGAATACGGCACGCCGGACAGAAGAGTGCCTCTGCTGTAAAGCTTCAAACATAAACAAGCCTCCAGTCACTAGGGGGCAGCAACACGTACAGTGGTTCGTACAGATAAGATAATATATGTTATAAGGTTCTTTATACTAGTGGTTTCCAACCGTTTTTGCCTCCTGAACTCATTTTGACAATACAAATTGTCACCTGTCAATCATAACTGACTAGCTTCACGCAGCTAACATTGCGTAGTGTTTTAAAACATAATTTAAAAAAGAATAATAATTAGTTGAAACATGTATTTTTTTAAACTAGTTACTAGACATTTCAAGTGACCCCATTTGAAGTCCAGGTAACCCTAAGTGGGGTCGTGACCCCTAGGTTGAAAACCGCTGCTCTAAACATATTTTACAAGTGCGGTTTTACAGTTTTAGAAGCAGATACTTTTTTCTTTTTTTTTCTTTCTTAGTGACAACTTCCTGTTATCTGCAGCCAGGTAACAGGAAGTATGAGGAGCATCTAAATGAAAGGCTGTAGGTTGACTCTGTTTATGTACCAGGACCACTCTTTGGGCTACGGCAAGAGGAACAGCCGCAGCAGCAGCAGCATGTTCCGTATCGTCCCGAAGTTCAAGAAGGAGAAGGCGGCCAAGAAGACCGCTCCTCAATCAGGTACGAGCCCGCTGGGTCCGCGGTCCGCAAGAGCTGACCGCCCTGGCCCGGTGTGTCGGACCGAGGACGAGGTGGTCGGTCACATGCTGGTCCGGTGGATTTTTAGTGCAATTTGTGTGCAATATGGGTGCTTTTATTTTGAAAAGATGGCTTCGAACCTACAGTTGGAAATTCTGCGGTCCATCCGTCTTTCACTCATTCAACCAACACACGAAGCGAACGTGTTTCTACTACAATATCTATTGATATACAATCGTTTTTTTGTGGGAAACATTCTAAGGTTAGTCAATTCTGATTTAAGCAGATGCAGATTCAGATTTTTCTATCTATTTTCCCTGTTATTAACCCTTTGATGCATGACCCATGATATACTGAGTTAAAAAAAATGTTACCAAGTGTTTTTATGTGTTTTTAGACATAAAAATAAGAACTGATTTGGTTCTGTTTTTATACACCAAATTTTTCTTTTGGAATGTTGACACAATTATTCTGCAGTTGCAAAGGCTGACCACTGTATGGCAGTGTTGGGTGATTCTCAGGCGTCCACTGTAGAGGCTTATATGCAACCCTGCCATCAAAACCTATTCTTATCATAGAAAATGACATGAAAGGTATGAAAATTTTCATAGCTGTCCACTGTAGTGACCGTCATGCATGAAAGGGTTAAGAACCACTGGATTAGAGTGACACCGAGTTTTGAAGTGTCATACATTTTTCACCATCATTTAGTAAGGTCTCAGCATTCTCTCTCCGTGATTGGCCGGATTCTCACCCTCACCTCGACCAATGATAGTTTTCATGCCTAAACACAAACCCAGTTCAACAGACAGGGGGCAGCAGCAGACCAACAGCTAACTTCACTGATTTTTTTTTTCTCTATGGACTTGTGTATGAGGAAGCAAATGCGAATTTTTTTTTTATCAGATAGTTCACTTATTCTGTGAGTAAAATCAAACGCTACCTACATGCAACATTGAGTGTTTTCCAGTCAATCATTCAGCCCAAGTGTGTATCCATCCAACGACCACCATCGCCTTCTCATCAACCCCACCTCCAGCACAAAAACAGGGCTGAGAGATCAACAGAGGGCAAGTGTAAAAGGGGAAAAAAAAAAATACAAAGAAATTCTTCTTTTTTAAAAAAAAAAAAAAAATGGATTCATTTTCTGTTTCTGAGTTCATTATAAGTTCATGGGAACAACGTTTCACTGGGTCAAACGATAGGGTTTGAGGCCTTTTTCAGGTTCACACAGGCTTCCTCCCTTCACCTCTTTCTCATCTTCTGCGCCCTCACCCGGTCTGCATGACCCTCACGCTCTCTGGACTCAACTGCCCTTGTTCGGACCGACTCTTTGTGCACTTTAACACCCCTCCTCTTCCTCCACCCTCCCCCCCACCCCCTTTTTGCCAGCTGCTGCCACAGCTCTTCCTTCCTTTCTCCTCCTCCTGTCCTTCTTTTTCCCCCTCCTCCACGGTTTCCTTCCATGTTCACAAGCATCGCCGTTATCTGTCTCGGTTTGTTTGTTTGTGCTGACGTTCTGGAAAGGGAACATGAATGAGAGGAAGAAGAAAAAAAAAAAAAAGCATTTTAAAATGTGTGTGTGTGTGAGGGCTGCACAATATATATACCCGGGATGTTAAACATGTGGCCCGCAGGCCAAAATGGCCCACTGGGAGGTTCAGGACTTTGGTGATAAATGGTGACAAATGGTTAAGATGAATCGATAATTAGTCAAATATAAATAAACGAGTCGAAAAAAAAAATTTAAATTGCTACGTTTAACGTAACGCTAAGCTAAAGCTAATTTTGTTTTGTTTTTTCCAATATATTCTGCAGCCCAATCGTGTGTGGTGTGTTTGAGTATTTGTGTAAACCTATGAGGCGCTGAGCCTCTCTCTGCTGTCTGTGTGTGTGTTGTGTGTGTGTATATGTGTGTGTGTGTGTGTGTGCTTTTGTACATGTCCTTGTACGTGCAGTGGAGAGGTGGGGCACAGAGGAAGTAGGCATCTGGCTGGAACAGCTGAGCCTGGGCGAGTACAGAGACACCTTCATCAGACACGATATCAGAGGCTCCGAGCTGCTTCACCTGGAGAGGAGAGACCTGAAGGTAGACACTCTCACACACTCACACTCACAAACACACACAAACTCACACACCTTCAATCCCTGTTTCTCTTTGTCCTGACAAAACCTTCGTTTTTTTTTTCCGAACCTCAGTCCCCCCTCTTATCGTTGTGCTGTTGCTGCTCTGCTTGGCTTCTTCTTCTTCTACTTCTTCTTCTTCTTCTGCTTCTTCTTCTGCTTGTTGTACTTGCTGTAAACCCACTAACACCGATCCCCTGCTCAGAGGGGAAGCCTACAGGGCGGGGCGGGTCATGAGTAGACTGTAAGGTAGTGACAGTACCTACAGTAGGTGCGTACTACACACAGGGACAGTAAATTATTATCGCAGTATGTACCTTAAAAATCAGATATTTATATTTATTTAATGCTAGATGTCCATGGTCATCATTTGTTTTTTTACCTGTTTTTCAATGTGGATGATTACCATTTTGTGATGTGTCTGATGATAGACGGCCGTGTTAGACACGTAAAAGAACTGGCAAACTGGCTATTCAATGCGTAAAAGATGAAATGGTAAGAAGGTAAAAATAATAGAAGAGCAAAAAAAAAAAAAAGACAAATCAAATGAGAAATAGAGCAGAACACATTACCTGGCAAAAAGCCGAAAGGGCAATTGGACAAAATAATCTGTAAAAATGAGTAAACGAAGCAAAAAGCAGAAGAAATGACAACTAAACATGGAAGAAAAGAACAACAAATGTCAGCGGAGAATAAATGGCAACAAAGTTTTTGCACTGGAGATAAGTGTGTTTTTACAGCAAGGGCTTTCCAACCCCTGGACCGTGGACCGGTGCTGGTCCGCAGGTCATTTGTTACTGGGCGACAATCATCTTGTTACTTTTTTTTATTCAAATATAATCTGTCAATGTTTCAAAACAACAGGTCATTCAGACTCTGATACTAAGAGAAGAAAGTCTGAAAGACGTTTTATTTTGAAAATCTAACGATCCTTCAACGATGATGCGGTATTACCGGTCCACAGTAACCGGTCATTGGTACAAAAAAGTTTGGGGACTGTTGGTTTACAGGATGTTCTCAAGATTCAACTATTTATCCTTGATTTTCACGACAAAACCATGACCTCAGTTTTCTCACCGATTCCTTACAAGAAGTAAGGAATCGCGCAGTCGTCCAGTGGTTCTTCTCCTAAGACCTTCGTTCCTCTATGTGTGTCTGTTTTTCTTTTTCTCCCCAGGATCTGGGGATTTCGAAAGTGGGTCATATGAAGAGAATTCTCCAGGGAACTAAGGACCTAGCCAAGGCCTCCATGATCGACCTCTAAGTCTCAGAGCGAAGGGAAGTCTACGATATTTGAATCCTGGACCTGAAGGGTATCGGTGACTTTGAAGGAGCCGATGTGCTGTCTGCTGAAGGAGAGAGAGAGAAGAGAAGATTTGGTCCCTCGCCTGGGGGGAAAAAAAAGTCTGACTCTAACTGTTTGTTTGTGCCAAAATGACTCGGAAGATAGACGCGGAAGCAGCCGATGGAAGGTCTGGAGAATTCGTCGACAAGCCATTTCAGAGTTCAACCCCCGTTAGGTCTCACAGTCAGGTATGCAAAAACTACCCCAAACGCTGATCACAGGTTCAACTCCATCCCCTGAGGAGCGACGGCCAAAATCGTGGCAAAAGAAGGACGTCGACAACGAGGTTTCCGGTTCGTCTCCCGAGCTTAGATCTGGACTCAGCAGGTTTGATGACGATCTTCAATAGTCTAGACCAGACCAGATTTTTTAAATGGACATATTGTTTCGGTTTTAGTGTTAAAGGCCCCCGAGATTTTACAACTTGAAATGTTAGGAACTGGACCTGAGGTTTATTGGACGGTTCCATCTGTCAATCGCGGTGTCCCATCACAAGGAAAGTCTTTATGAATGATAAATGCCCTGTACATTTCCACTCCAGGAACTAGTCCAGCACCAAAGTCTTTTGTGTTTTTCCACCACATGGAGTGAGCACCAGAAAATTACAGAAACTAGGGGTGTCAAACATACGGCCCGTGGGCCAAAATCGGCCCGCTAGGGGGTTCAATCCCGGTCCGCTTGATGAATTTTGAAATTGACTTGAAATGAAATTTCATTATTTATGAATATTTTCTAATATAATTGTACTTCCTTTGCATGAAAACAAAAGGGGGACAAACATGGACTTAGTTTTATTTATAGCTAATTATGTTATGATCTACTTGTCCGGCCCACTTGACATCTAATTATGGCTTTATGTGGCCCGTGAACCAAAATGAGTTTGACGCCTCTGGTCTAGAGTATGTGCTTCCAACACAGCAAGTACTGCCTACGGAAAGGGGAGTACCAGGAACTGGTACCACCAACATGAGATAGTACAAATAAGTGGTACTAACTAAGTGGTACTTAGTTAGTACCACTAACTAAGCATGGTTCCACAACTAGCCCAAGAAACTAAAGGGAAGTGCCTGGAACTGATTTTAGATCCTTAGTTAGTCTTGAAGGAAGAGAAAGTTTTTCTTTCAAATATAAGAGGCAAAATATCAGTTCAAATACACAAGCGAACATTTTAAACGTGACGCTAGTACAACTTCCTGGGACATTTCTGGTACTACGCTCCAAAAAAACCCCAAAAAACAGACAGATTTCGTAGCAACCAGAACGGCCCACTAGTGGCTCACTCATGTATTACAACCTATGTCCATTTATAAAATGCGGTTTACGTCCAAAATTGAGCAGATTGAACGTCGTCACGCGGCGTGGTGAGGATTCTACAGCGGGTTTGGGAAACGTGTCGCATGCCTTGATCGTCCCAACTCAGTGACTGCATGACTCGACGCCTCGAGGTCGGTTTGATTTTTATCGTGTGTGTGTGTGTGCTAAATAACACTTGAACGGGTTTTACAGAACGTTTAAGTATTAAGAGTATGCCATTTATTACTACTGAAAACTCATCCTTTGAGGGGAAAAAAACAAAACAAAAAAAAAAAGGATTACTCTACCTTTAATTTATTCTGTTTGCATGAAAATGATGATGTGTCAACCAGTGGTGTCGTGCCATAAAAAGTATGTGATAAGTAATACACAATCTAAGAATTTTTACGTTTATTTTTTTTTTAAATAAGTTGACCATACAGTAAGGAATAAGGACAGTGTAATTTTTTTTTTCCCCCTAAAATTCTGGCTTTAATTTCTTTAGAAAAACATTGTCAATATTTCAATAATTATATATAAGAACTTCTATAATAATTTTAAACTTACATAATTTTTTTTTTTTAAATAGTAGCTGTCCTGAGATTAAACAAATCCAACTGTAATCTAAGATTTCCCGGTTAAATGTAAAAAAAAAAAAAAAAATCAAATTTTTTTTGTAAGTTAAAACGTTTTACAGAAGGTGAAGTCGGAGTCGGAGTAAGTAAGACTCGATTCAGACTTTAGGAGAAGAACCAAAACGACAGTCAAAACTGAATGCCTGAATGGATTTTCTCTAGAGGAAAAAAGGTCAGAATTTTAGGTGGAAAAAAAGTAAGAATTAATGGACTCAATAACAGTTATTAAGTCGTAACCGTAAGGAAATTCATGTTCTTATTTAAATAGAATTTTTTTTTAATGATAAACAGTTTTCCATTTGAACCGAAACCCTTTTCTGTTGCTGTCAGAGGAGAAGATTAGCACTAAAGAGAATAACCGAATGTGACTCTCCAGTCCAGGCATGGGCAAACTAAGGCCCGGGGGCCGGATGCGGCCCGTTCAGCTTTTTAATCCGGCCCGCCAAACTTTTCCAAATTATAGAATTTATTTATATTATTACTATACTTCTGCATTTTACCTGCAATAACCACGTTTCCCCAATAGGTGGCGTAAAAGTTAAACGCATTTTAGCATTTTAGTTCACTTATCTTAGTTCACACGAACGCTCCATCTATCTGCTCCTGACCCGGCCCTCCCTGTTCAATTTTAGGACCAATTGTGGCCCGCGAGTCACAAAGTTTGCCCACGCCTGCGCTAGTCCATAGCAAGGGTCTCTAGATTTTGACATTGTTATTCGTGCGGTAAGAAGTAACAGTGACGTTCATCCGTAGGTTTGTGATATTCTAGGTATTCTTTTTATTTTAGGAAAATATTTTTGCACTTTACATCTTCTTGCTAATATGCAAGTGCAAACCGTCAATTTATGGTGTAGGATATATACGAATTGACCTCAAGGTTTTTCTTTTTGACGTCTTTTGATCTTTTTGGGAGTTTTTGCTACGTTATTTAACACTATTGAAAATAGGACATAGATATTGGTTTGTACATTTGTGGTAAGAACTTGCGGTTGTATTGATTTGTCTGAATACTTAAGCTTCAACGTTAATTAATAATAGGGAGGGCTCGGTACAACTTTTGTCATATCCGATTCCGATACTGCAACTTGGAGTTTTTGCCGATATTGATAGCAATCCGATACTTTCTTTTACGGACTGTCGTTGCTGAAGTGATCGTGTCCTGCTTGATGGCATGCGGCGCGAAGTTAGGTTGGGCATTTAGGCTTCGGTATCGGATGGGGTATAGTTGACAGATACCGATCCTGAGTATCGGATTGAGCCATCTCTTCTTAATAACAGTTTAGTTTGGGGTTGTTTTTTTTAAATTATGGTTAGCAATGTTACTGGTGTATAGTTTGAGCTGATTGTGCTGTGAGTGCCCCCTGCATATCTTTCGTTTGATTTTTGTTAGAGGAAGCAGTGAACCGAAGCAGAAACCATATTTCGAACATATCCCTGCTCTTTTTAGTGTAGCGTTACAATCTGCGTTACCGCGCGTATCAAACGCCACAGAGAAAATTAGCTATTTTGCAACGCAAATTTTCAGGGATCAACCACTTTTAGTAAGATTAAATGAGCTGTTTGGGGTCATTGGATTTTAGTCAATTGAACGTGGGTGACCCTGGTTTTGCCTGTGTAACTTATTGACAAAAACTACCCACAGGACGCAGTAAAAGTTTAGCATAAATGTAAAATTTTACGTGCTTTCAAACTGTTGTTAGTTTTGTGTTAAAATATATATGTTAACATATAGGATTCAATACATTTATGGGAAATGTAGATATGTTTTATTTAGGGATGTCGGATAATATCGGCCAACCGATGCTATCGGCCAACCGCTGCTATCGGCCAACCGCTATTATCGGCCGATATTAGCTAAATTATGTAATATCGGTAAGAACCATTCATGAACGCCCGATAACGCACCGCCTGGGTTTGTCCTAGACGATGTGACCTGAAAATAGTTTTACTGCTGCACACAAGTGTCCTCGGCTTTTAACTCAAACAACTCCATATATGGGTATCGGTTGATATCGGAATCAGAAAAAAAAGTGTTCAGACAATATCGGCATATCGGAAACGGGCAAAAAGTTAACATCGGAGTGTTCGGACAATATCGGCATATCGGAAACGGGCCAAAAGTTAACATCGGACGTCCCTGGTTTTGTTGTATTATACCACTAGAAGCTACATTTTGCGTAAGAGTTAGCCCGTTTGAGGCTGTATCTCAGCACCAGGGGGCACTTCGACCACAGTCAGGACCAATAACATGTTAGTACCTCACGACCACAACAGACGAGAACGCAGAAGTAGAGATTGAAAAATCTAGAGTTATCTTTTTCGTAAGGCATGCTGGCATTACAGGGTAAACTTGTAGACGTAGCCGTGTCCGTGAGCGTCGTTTGTTACGATACGAAACGGCAGTTTATGCAAGCCATTTAGTCAGCGGTTGTCGTTGTCGTAGTTTGTATGTTTTTTCGACGTGGCATGTATTCATCCACACAGTTCGTGTTGAAATTGAATTATCACTGCGTATTAGGGTTCGTGTCACACCATAACTCGAAGGATGTACAGTCACAAACACGTTTCAAATCTCCTGTACGTGACGAAGCTGCCGTTGTGTTCTCCTCATGATGGTGCAATATTTGACCTTCTCCCTTTTTTGATACCGTCTCCGCAGCTGTTTTTAAGACAGTAGGAGAAAAACAAAAAACACTTTTTGTACACTCCTCTCTCCTCTTCCTTGGACATTTTGGGGTCTGAATTTCACATTTAGGACCCGGAGACAGTGTCCCCTTTTCTTACTGACTCCATGTTTCTTCCAGTGGTTCCCTGAGTTTGTAGATCTTCACTCCTCTGTGCTTCCAAGCTGAAAAAGAAATGTCAAACAGCAGATAAATCAGGCTCTTCTGTCCTTATGGAAATTGTGCGTTTGTTCTTGTTCTGACAGCTTTAGCTGTTGTTCACACTCTGTTCTCATTTCCCCCCTTACAACTTATTTATTTATGCTATATAGAGTTACGGGGTAACATTGGCAAATAAGACAGCCTTTGTAAATAATGCATTGAATAATCAGATAGATGTTGTTCACTCGGAAATGAGAACAACTAATTTTGGCACCATTTGGGATGGACTGTGTGTCGGTCAATTATCAAATGCATTCGTTTCTGCCTTGAAAATATTCAGATTAATTCATCCGGGTTTTAAACGTTCTGTCTGAACAACAGGTTAATGGGGGACATCAGCCACTTCTACACTCACCGCAAATGTCGGGAAAATGATTCATGAATATTTACGGAGGTAGTCACCTGGTTTTGCTGCCTTATTGTCGAAGTTAAAATTTGGATAGAAAGATATTTTTGGACGGGAGACAACAGTAGTTTAGTAACAACAGTCTGAGCAATTGTCTGGGACAATAACTTTATATTGGTACATTTTTATCATCCACTAGAGGGCAGTATATCCCACCTGAAATCATTGAGGCTGTTGCTATTTTTAACATCTCCCAGTAGATAAGTTGTTCCATTATAGGGTGCAGAAACCATTGAAACTCCAAAGCTAATTCTACATTAGAGTCATCTTTATTTTTTTTTTATTTTTTATTTTTTATTTTTTTTTTTGGTGTATGCAATAATGTTCGTCATGCAACTCACAGCCAAAGATAGAGCTGTTTTTACAAACTCTAAAGCACTATAAATTGAATTCACTTTAACGTTCACCTGTTGTGTTTGATTTATATAGCTAGCATTAGCTCGTCGTGGAGGAAAAGCTTTTAGGTTGTTTTTTTTTTTTTTTTTTTCTTAAGTATGGTTGTCCGGGGCAAGTAATACCGGCTAAATTATGGTGGACCCTGTGCTGGCATTCAGTAGTAAACCGAGTTTCAGTCAAAAAAAAAGTCAAGTCAGTCAAGTCTGTTGTAAACCGTAGTTTACAACAGTATTGTAAACTAGAGTTGTCCATTTTTATTTCTCTGCGTGCTGATACCCAGTACTGATATTGATACTTCCTTTGGTCGGGGTCTCAGTAAATATGCAATACAGAAGGTAGTATTATGCAGGTGGATAAACAGTAATTTAAAAATCATAATATATAATAGTAATAAATACTATTAACAAATACTCATAATAATAATAATAATAATATATAAAACCAAAAAGTAAATAAAATAAAATAACATTTTCTCCTAGTTGATCCCATAGTGAGCAGGGTTTTCTACATCACTAAGTGTCACAAAAGTGACTTGGTGAGGCGTAAAAAGTGTCACAAAAGTGACTTGGTGAGGCGTTAAAAACTCCTCGTCTATCCTCTGTGCACGTTTAGCGCTAAGGCTAGTCTTTTTTCAGGGTTTACGTGATGACAGTTGCTCATATCGTAAAACAAATCATGTCGTACAATTGATTAAATAACTACCCCTGAGGGCAACAAGACAACGACTTCCGGTTGGGGTGAAAAGTGGGTCAGGGTATCACCAAGCTGGATCAGCAGGTTTTCAAGTACGAGTATTTGAATGAAGTATTTGGTCCAATCGCAACACTGGTAATGGTATTGGGACATTCCTATTGTCGACATGCTGAAATGTATTTGTAAACATATTGGCGTGTAAAATATAGTTAAATGTTTAATGTCATTTTTTAAGGGCCACATTTGCAATTACTGCGATCCTTGATATGCTAGTTGTGAGCAAGACAGGGAACTGTTTCGCTGAAATGTTAAGATACAACTTAACCCTCACTTCATTTCCGTTCATACTGTATTTATTTTGCGTTTCAACAGCTTCTGCCGGCTTCTGTTACTGAACTGTTATGTTCCTCATAATAGAAGGGGACACTAGCGCCACCTGTCTCCCTCAGTGGTCTGTAAATAATGCTGCACACTGCCTGTTTTGTACACAACAAAAAAAAAAAAGAAAAGAAAATCAGACAAGACAACTACACTTTGGTTCCTTAAAATAACAGGAGAGAATCAACTTCATGTGTTTACATTATGTTTACAATGGCACAGTTTTCGTTTGTAAGACTTTATCAGTATGTATTTGTATAGGTATAAACAATACTTGCATATTTATTGCCTATAAGGTTAACAGATATGATGACGGCGTCTGTTGTGTTTTCACATTTGGGACATAGTGTTACCTGTGTAATTATTATTATTACTCCATGGCTAATGATAATGATTTTTTTTTTTTTTTTTGGTAAAGTAGTTGATCATTTTATGACTACTGCAGTGACTGTTTTCTGTGCCTTTTTATGGTTAGAATGCATGGTTTTAACTTATTATTATTATTACTATTGGAAGTCACTATGAGATGTTGTATTTTTGTATTTTCTGAATAAATGAATCAGTGGTTTCCTCGCTTTTGTTGTACATTTTTGAGGTGCTGTCCTTCGGAACGAGGCCGTTAATATCTCTCTTATTCAATAAAAACACGCTTTTGTTGTACATTTTTGAGGTGCTGGAGGCCGTTCATATCTCTCTTCTTCAATAAAAACAAATTTGTATGCAGCCTGATTGGTTTATTTTCATACTTATATACACTTTCAAATATTTGCCTGTTTATTGACATCAAATAATGTCCGGTGGATGAATTACCATTGTACCAAATAAGGTAAAATATAGTCTAAATCAGCTAAAACAACACGAATTAGGCTAGAATGAGACAACCAAGTGATACCTTAAAATTTACCAAAATATAGCTGCTAGCACTGAAAGGACTGAAAAAGGCAAAAGATAACAGTTTACACAGATCATTTAAAGGGAAGCAATGATAAATTATGACAATATTATTCATCACTGGTATTATGAGTTCTTCGTTTTATTTCATAATTTCTTTTTTATGATCTTGTATTAGTGATTTTTAATCTTAAAATGATGAATTTCAGTCTTATCACTTTGACTTTTTGTGACCAAAAGTGCATTTTCCTGAATAATGAGGTATCTCTGAAATAACTCTTGTTAAATTTTTGTGCCACTTTTTTACTATGTAGGTGAGCATTAACTACTCAGAAATCGCAATTTTGTTAACTTATCTCATTTTATCTCATCTCTTTATCCTAATGTTATAACTATTTTAACCCCAAAACTTCGACTGTCATTATCCTATAATAATAATAATAATATAATTCTACGTAAATACTGTAAGGGCTTTTAAAATGTCAAAAAATCAGACATATGTATATATAAATATTGTATACTATTATTTATATATGTAATATACTGTTTTTAGTTTACGGTTGAGAAGAAGAAACTCAGTCGGATCTGATTGGTCGATCCGTTCTGGGTGGCGCAGTAAGATAGAGGGGCCAGTCAGCGCAGCTAGACTACAGACTGAGCGGTGAGACACGGAATTTTCTTATTTTGTCCGAAGTTATTATATTTATGTAACAATTCACATTGGATATGAAGAAACTAAACCAGTGCGGTGTCGGGGAGCCAGTTGTTATTGTTCGCTGATACGTAAAAACACTGCGCCGTTAGCGTCACTTAGCTGTTTGGCTAACGATGCTAAAGCTAACGAGATATATGTGACGTCACAGCCTAGCAAACCGAGGCCTAGTGTCGTTTCTGGTTTTTCTTTTTAATTGAATGACAGTCTGACAGTCGGCTCAGTCGGACTGTGCATGTGTGTCAGATAATTGTTTCTAATTAAATAGCTGTTGTTGACATCTGACACGTTTGAGTTTGCGTGTATGTAAACATCAGCATCATCAGCTGCTCTGTGGCCTGACGCATCTGCAGCTTTTGCTGCTGCTGCTGCTGCTGCTGCTTTCACCGCTGCTGTGTCAAATTCCAGACCATAAAATTAGCACATTTTCTGCCCTTCTCATCTGCAGTTAAGCTTAAGTGCGTCGAGGTTACCATTTTCTATTTTATTTGTGCTTGTAATTTTTGTTTCGTAGTAGTCCCGATACCGATACTTGGGATTTTGGTTTCGACCATACCTATATATATATATATATATACATAAATAAACAAAATATAACAAATAAATAAAATTGGCTAGAAATTCATTTGTTGTTAACATAAATTATACATTGTTATGAGTTATGGGTCACCAGCATGTTAAAACGTAACTTCTGAAATGAGAAACGCAACTATCCAACTACTTTACAACTGCTCCTTAATGCTCAAGCTCATTGATTTTACATCTTTTAATTCTCCTGATATGCGTTTGCACACTCTCTGACACAGTTCAGACAAAGCGGTCACGGAAAAAATATCTTTGCAGTGGCGTGCATTATGTATATGATAATGGTTAAGTTACCTAGCTGTTGTATGACAGTAATTTCTGGCAATAACATACAATATTTCCATATATTCCCCCAACCTATAAATGGAAATTCTCAAATCAATAGAGTAGTCATTTAGAATAACCGTGATTATGAATTTTGCCATAAACAAACATTCTTACTGGGTTCGTATCCTACCTTGGCTGGCTGTTGTGTCATTGAGCAAGCACCAAATCCATTGCTCGCAGAGCACTTTCATTAGTAACTGCTCACTGCTTTTATGTATTTCTTGAAAAGAACATTTTGACCAACTTTTGACCACGGTCTAGGTCATAAAGTGACCACCTAAGTGGTGTTTTCGCACGTTGAGGTGACTACATCGGGACGCTCCAATGACCACATTGGTGTTTGACAGACGGGTCAAGCAGTACATTCTTTTTCTAATTTTGCTCAGGGTTCCAATATGGCCTTTAATGAACCCTTAGGGAGACCCAGGCTGACTCGACTCCAACAGAGTCAGAGCCGGAGAAGTACACACATCTTGGCTTTAAAGATGACCAGGATAGAAATAACTGGGCGCTTTGTCTGACACCTGCACTTCTCTACACATACTTCATGCCGACTGGGCACAAAAGTTAACCCTTTGTTCCTGGTCTGAGCATAGAGTTGGTGGGCTAGAATCGTTCGTTTCCACCAAAGGACATCTGTAAAACAATTCCATTACTTTGGGCCAAGGGCTGGAGTGGGCCACAGAGAGACCTTAGAAAGTCCTGAGCCAAACTGCAAAGAGGAAGGCTGATGGATAAAGCTTACTGAGATGCTTCGCCATGGTCAAAGCCAACAGCAAAACAGTTTTCAAAGAGATAATTCTGGCCAACTGCCTCTTTGCTCAAATGGATTTTTGGGAGAGGTTCAGTCACCACTAATAGATCCCACCTAGGTATCATGTGTCTGGTGACGGTGACACTACACTGTGCACCCTTCATAAAATGCCTCACCGTAGGATGCTGTCCAAAAGGTTCATCCTCAAAACTTACATTGCAAGCTGAAATAACTGCAACACACAGCTTACTTTGCCTGAGCTACAAGATCGTAGAAGTACAACAGGTGTAGCGCCAGTGTTGTTGTTGAGGCTGTTATAGACTAGTTATATTTTTATAACATACCCCACGGTCACCTTAGTCCATAGGGGCTACCAGGTGTACCCGGGTACCACGTTGGTGACCCCTGGCTTAGAGTATCAACAGGTGGGGATTTTAATTTTAAAGGTCGGGACCAGTAGCAGCTCAAGTCTTTAACTCACTAAAGTACTGCTAGGAAGAACTTGCCTT